AGTCTACCAGTTAGCTTACAAGTTGACATTTCTACCACTTAGCTTACAAGTTGACATTTCTACCACTTAGCTTACATGTTGTCAGTTTACCAGTTAGCTTACAAGTTGACATTTCTACCAGTTAGCTTACATGTTGTCAGTCTACCAGTTAGCTTACAAGTTGACATTTCTACCACTTAGCTTACAAGTTGACATTTCTACCACTTAGCTTACATGTTGTCAGTTTACCAGTTAGCTTACAAGTTGACATTTCTACCAGTTAGCTTAACAGTTGTCAGTTTACCAGTTAGCTTACAAGTTGACATTTCTACCAGTTAGCTTATAGTTAGACATTTCAACGAGTTAGCTTAACAGTTGTCAGTTTACCAGTTAGCTTACATGTTGTCAGTTTACCAGTTTGCTTACAAGTTGACATTTCTACCAGTTAGCTTAACAGTTGTCTGTTTACCAGTTAGCTTACAACTTGACATTTCTACTAGTTAGCTTAACAGTTGTCAATTTACCAGTTAGCTAACAAGTTGACATTTCTACCAGTTAGCTTACAATTTGTCAATTTACCAATAATCTTAGACCGCCTCCGTGGTCGAGGGGTTAGAGTCGATGACTTCTAATCCAGTTACCTCTCTGGCGTGGGTTCGATCCCCGGGAGATGCTTTGGTAGTTTAGCGCGGAGGAAGATAGTCTAGTACTGGTGTAACTCTCCAGGAACGATGGTTAGGTAACTACCCGCCTATATGACTGAAATACTGCTGAAAAAGGCGTAAAATGAAACAAACAAACAAACAAACAAAACAAACCAATAATCTTACAGGTTGACATTTCTACAAGTTAGCTTACATGTTCACATTTCTACCAGTTTGCTTATAAGATGTCAGTTTACCAGCTTACTTACAGGTTGACATTTCTACCAGTTTGCTTATAAGATGTCAGTTTACCAGTTAACTTACAGGTTGAAATTTTCTACCAGTTTGCTTATAGGTTTGTCAGTTTACCAGTTAGCTTACATGTTGACATTTCTACCAGTTAGCTTATAGTTTGACATTTCTATGAGTTAGCTTAACAGTTGTCAGTTTACCAGTTAGCTTACATGTTGTCAGTTTACCAGTTTGCTTACAAGTTGACATTTCTACCAGTTAGCTTAACAGTTGTCAGTTTACCAGTTAGCTTACAAATTGACATTTCTACCAGTTAGCTTAACAGTTGTCAATTTACCAGTTAGCTAACAAGTTGACATTTCTACCAGTTAGCTTACAATTTGTCAATTTACCAATAATCTTACAGGTTGACATTTCTACCAGTTAGCTTACATGTTGACATTTCTACCAGTTTGCTTATAGGTTTGTCAGTTTACCAGTTAGCTTACATGTTGACATTTCTACCAGTTTGCTTATAGGTTGGCTGTGATACCAGTAAGCTTGCAAGTTGTCAGTTTACCAGTTAGCTTACAAGTTGACATTTCTACCAGTTAGCTTACAAGTTGTCAGTTAACCAGTTAGCTTACATGTTGATATTTCGACCAGTTTGCTTACAAGTTGTCAGTTTACCAGTTAGCTTACAGGTTGACATTTCTACCAGTTAACTTAAATGTTGTCAGATTACCAGTTAGCGTACAGATTGACAGTTCAACCAATAAGCTCACAAATTAAAAGTTCTACCAGTCAGCTTACAGGTTGACATTTCTATTTTCTACCAGTTAGCTTACAGGTTGGCTGTGCTACCAGTTAGTTTAGAGATTGACTGTTCTACTAGTAAGCTAACAGTTTTACCAGTTAGCTGACATGTCAACAGTTCAACCAGTTATCTTACTGTGTAAGCTTACAGGTTGCTTGTGTTACCAGTTAGCTTACAGGTTGCTTGTGTTACCAGTTAGCTTACAGGTTGCTTGTGTTACCAGTTAGCTTACAAGTTGCTTGTGTTACCAGTTAGCTTACAAGTTGCTTGTGTTACCAGTTAGCTTACAAGTTGGTTGTGTTACCAGTTAGCTTACAAGTTGGTTGTGTTACCAGTTAGCTTACAAGTTGGTTGTGTTACCAGTTAGCTTACAAGTTGCTTGTGTAACCAGTTAGCTTACAAGTTGCTTGTGTTACCAGTTAGCTTACAGGTTGCTTGTGTTACCAGTTAGCTTACAAGTTGCTTGTGTTACCAGTTAGCTTACAAGTTGCTTGTGTGTTACCAGTTAGCTTACAGTTGCTTGTGTTACAGTTAGCTTACAAGTTGCTTGTGTAACCAGTTAGCTTACAAGTTGCTTGTGTTACCAGTTAGCTTACAAGTTGCTTGTGTTACCAGTTAGCTTACAGGTTGCTTGTGTTACCAGTTAGCTTACAAGTTGCTTGTGTTACCAGTTAGCTTACAAGTTGCTTGTGTTACCAGTTAGCTTACAAGTTGCTTGTGTTACCAGTTAGCTTACAGGTTGCTTGTGTTACCAGTTAGCTTACAAGTTGCTTGTGTAACCAGTTAGCTTACAAGTTGCTTGTGTTACCAGTTAGCTTACAGGTTGCTTGTGTTACCAGTTAGCTTACAAGTTGCTTGTGTTACCAGTTAGCTTACAAGTTGCTTGTGTTACCAGTTAGCTTACAAGTTGCTTGTGTTACCAGTTAGCTTACAAGTTGCTTGTGTTACCAGTTAGTTACAAGTTGCTTTGTGTTACCAGTTAGCTTACAGGTTGCTTGTGTTACCAGTTAGCTTACAAGTTGCTTGTGTTACCAGTTAGCTTACAAGTTGCTTGTGTTACCAGTTAGCTTACAGGTTGCTTGTGTTACCAGTTAGCTTACAAGTTGCTTGTGTTACCAGTTAGCTTACAAGTTGCTTGTGTTACCAGTTAGCTTACAAGTTGCTTGTGTAACCAATTAGCTTACAAATTGGCTGTGATAAAGTTGTCAGTTTACCAGTTAGCTTACAGGTTGACATTTCTACCAGTTAACTTAAATGTTGTCAGTTTACCAGTTAGCTTACAGTTTTACATTTCTTCCAGTTAGCTTACAAGTTGCCAGTCTACAAGTTAGCTAACATGTTGATATTCTACCAGTTTGCTTATAGGTTGTCAGTTTACCAGTTAGCTTACAGGTTGACAGTTCAACTATTTAGCTTACAGGTTGACATTTCTATCAGTTAGCTTACAGATTGACAGTTCAACCAATAAGCTCACAAATTAAAAGTTCTACCAGTTAGCTTACAGGTTGACATTTCTATTTTCTACCAGTAAGCTTACAGGTTGGCTGTGCTACTAGTTAGTTTAGAGATTGACTGTTCTACTAGTAAGCTAACAGTTTTACCAGTTAGCTGACATGTCAACAGTTCAACCAGTTATCTTACTGTGTAAGCTTACAGGTTGCTTGTGTTACCAGTTAGCTTACAGGTTGCTTGTGTTACCAGTTAGCTTACAGGTTGCTTGTGTTACCAGTTAGCTTACAGGTTGCTTGTGTTACCAGTTAGCTTACAGGTTGCTTGTGTTACCAGTTAGCTTACAGGTTGGTTGTGTTACCAGTTAGCTTACAAGTTGCTTGTGTTACCAGTTAGCTTACAGGTTGCTTGTGTTACCAGTTAGCTTACAAGTTGCTTGTGTTACCAGTTAGCTTACAAGTTGCTTGTGTTACCAGTTAGCTTACAAGTTGGCTGTGATAAAGTTGTCAGTTTACCAGTTAGCTTACAGGTTGACATTTCTACCAGTAAGCTTACAAGTTGTCAGTGTACCAGTTAGCTTAGATGTTGACATTTCTACCAGTTAACGTACATGTTGTCAGTTTACCAGTTAGCTTACAAGTTGCTTATGTTACCAGTTAGCTTACAGGTTGCTTGTGTTACCAGTTAGCTTACAAGTTGCTTATGTTACCAGTTAGCTTACATACCAGTTAGCTTACAGGTTGCTTGTGTAACCAGTTAGCTTACAGGTTGCTTGTGTTACCAGTTAGCTTACAGGTTGCTTGTGTTACCAGTTAGCTTACAGGTTGCTTGTGTTACCAGTTAGCTTACAGGTTGCTTGTGTTACCAGTTAGCTTACAGGTTTCTTGTGTTACCAGTTAGCTTACATACCAGTTAGCTTACAGGTTGCTTGTGTAACCAGTTAGCTTACAGGTTGCTTGTGTTACCAGTTAGCTTACAGGTTGCTTGTGTTACCAGTTAGCTTACAGGTTGCTTGTGTTACCAGTTAGCTTACAGGTTTCTTGTGTTACCAGTTAGCTTACAGGTTGCTTGTGTTACCAGTTAGCTTACAGGTTGCTTGTGTTACCAGTTAGCTTACAGGTTGCTTGTGTTACCAGTTAGCTTACAGGTTGCTTGTGTTACCAGTTAGCTTACAGGTTGCTTGTGTTACCAGTTAGCTTACAAGTTGCTTGTGTTACCAGTTAGCTTACAGGTTGCTTGTGTTACCAGTTAGCTTACAGGTTGCTTGTGTTACCAGTTAGCTTACAAGTTGCTTGTGTTACCAGTTAGCTTACAGGTTTCTTGTGTTACCAGTTAGCTTACAGGTTTCTTGTGTTACCAGTTAGCATACATGTTGACAGTTCTACCAATTAGCTTACAGGTTGGCAAAAGTTATTTGACAAGAACTATTAATGCATTTCATTCAAAGTTTGAAAAAGACATACTACAAATGTCAGGACATTTACATTCAATTGATTTACCGCCGCTAAAATGGTTAAGGACTGTTATTTGAAGGGCCTTAGCATTTTATTTGGTATAAAATCTAAACAAGACTAACCTGTCATAATCAACTAATCCAAAATATTTTATTCTAACTGAGTTAGACATTTCAAGTATTCTTGACAATTTACGAAATAAATGGTTTCTAAAGAAATGCTTTAGTCACAGGCATGAGTATTGGACTTTGGAAGAAAATATGACCACATTGATAAAAACCTCTGTGTTCATCTTAAATGTGTCAAAAACCAAAAAATAAAAAATCTATGAAATATGAGCCCCCTTAAAAATATACTATAAGTTAACTAATAGTATATTTTAAGGGTGAGGCTCATATATATTTTTTTTTTATTTTTATTTTCGGACACATTTAAGATGAAGACAGAGGTTTTATCAATGTGGTCCCAGGTTAGTCTCAATATTTCGACGGCAAGACAGACCGATTTTATAATCTGATATTTCATAGATGTCTGTCTTTACGCGAAGGGCGGCCATCGTCTATATAAAAAAGCCCTAAAGCGCACAATTTGTTGGGCTAGTCCCAGGTCCGATACTCGTGCCGTGCTCTTGTGTCAAATTGTCTCCTCAAAAAAGTTAGTCGTGCCGCAAAGTGAACTAAACTCTTCCATAAAGGAAACAAAATTAGTATCGTAAATCCAAAATGGCCGCCAAAGAGGCGGAACAAGTTGTTTTGGACGAAGAAGATGAAGAATTACGGGAAGATCTTGCTCCTGGTGACTGTGGCACTGCTATGTTAATAACATCTGACTCATATGAACATTTAGCTGCAGAAGACTTTGAAAAATCACGTGCCATTATAAAAAGAAAGGGTCATATACATGACATTGTTCGCCAGTCATCTCATGAAGAACACGATTCATCAGGGGGTGAGCAGACTGGTCATGCAAATAATTTGGATGCAGAAAAGTTAACTCCATCAGCAAGTGAAGACTCCAGTGACCAAAGTGATGTAGGTTGCTTATTACTGTTATCTGTGTGCTTTGATGATATGTTTTTTATCAAAATATCTTATTTCTAACGAGTAAAGTCGGTCTCATCTTAAGTACATGTCACATGTTCACAACACAGTATACTATTGTCAAAATGTAATAAGAAATTAGGCAAAGCCTATGAACGGGGAAGTCGTTAAAAAATCCCTTTCATTCTTTCCGTTTTAAAGGTGTAATTCGGTATTACATGCACCGCTTCCGTTTTCACTCGGAACACTCGACGATTATTATTAATCCGAAAAGTTGAGTTTTGTTCCGTTATCGGAATAACCCGCCTATTATCATTGAGTTACATTGTAAATGGCGGCGCCCGACTAGAACTGACACTGAAAATTTCATTGATAGGTATAGAATTCTATATATTTTTAATTGTTTTTTATTTGATTTTCTTTTAAATATGTACACGTGTAGTCTATAGCAGGGCAAGCCAAAGCCCGGACCCGCTTCGCGGGCCCGGTCTTTGACTTCCCCGTATTAAAAATTATATAAGAAATAAGTGCAAACTATGATGGGATATACTATTCTCTGGTCCTGTTGCTCTTGGTCTCCAGTGCCTCCCGGCCTATTTCGTAAGGAAAATACTAGAGACTAGCAAATAGTATCGTATTTACTGGCCTGGTCAGTAGAGCTGTCATTGATTCAGTGCAAAGCATATTGACGATATGTCAATAGCAGATGACAAATATCAGTGATACACCGATATATTGATAATTACTCCTAATTTCTTGTATATAACATGTGGAATTGGATTTTTTCCACTTGCCCACAGACAAGTTGGACAAGAATTTCTACTTGCCCGAAGCTCAACTTCACTTGCACAAATATCACAGGGATATTTTAGAATCTGCAATAAACAAAGAAGGAAATTCTGACATCAAAAATAGGGAGATTTCTTTAATTTGTGAAAATACTCATTATTTTAAAGGCATTCATGTTTAAAGATAGCTGGTTAACCAATTTTCTATAGTAACCAGCTATCTTTAAACACGAATGTGTTTGTGGTCATATTCTTTGTCTCTCTGCACACTTGGTATACGCTTTTCTGATTCTTTTCAGACCTCAAGAAAAAATTGTCATTGTGTCTAAACAATTCACAATGCAACAACGATTCAAATATATGATGCTGCGCATTATATGCCTCAATACGATCAATCACCAAGCTTGTTTTCCAATACGCATTTTGTGCCCTCTTCTGCTTGGGGGGTTTGATCAATGCCAAGAAAATTTTGGACTTGTGAGAGGCTAAATATGACCTCAGGTCAATCTTAAGGTAATATGTAACCAACACTGAAAAGCCTTTGACTCTATATCTCAATCCATTGAGAAGTTGCAGCACTTTGTAATGGGTTTTGATTGAAAAAAATCAATCCAAAATAGTTATTTTTTGCAATTTTGAGATGTCCCTTCATTGCTATGATAATAGGAAATTTAAGATTGAGCATGTCATTACAAAGGCTATGGTCCAGTAAACAAATGTGCCAAGTTTGATTAGTATTTAAGCATTTTTTATAGTTTCATAGCAATTTGAACTTGTACTAGGAGGCTTTTCAATGAAAACAGCCATTTTTCACAAAATGCTTGTGCGGTAATGGGTTAAAGTTTAAATGTGAAGATTTTTTTTCTAAACACTGGGTAAACTATTCATATACTAAACTGGATAGAGCTACCAACTGCTCAGTCATTATACAGCACAGATGACAAGTTAACTATTTCCCTGTAATTCCCTTATTTCCTGGGAATTCCCTGTATTTCCCTCTGACTACTAATCCCCAAAAATATGCCAACTCTGATATGGCATATGGCAGGCAAAGGAATGTTTACATTGTAACATAATGTCAGATATGACCTTAATAAACCAAATAGTGTCAGGACAAGTAATTCTATGCTCATTGTAGTTTGCCATATTTTTCTCAATACTCTTTTGATGGCTTCATGATTATATGTTTCTGCACATTTTAACCCTAAACTGTGTATAACTCTACAACAGGGCACTCTAAATTGATATCTATTTCTTTAATATTATTGATATGAAATAAGATTGTACCTATGATGCAGAAAGCTTTTATGATTTAATAACAAGCACAAAATAGACATAATATTGGTTCTTGCTGTAAGAAAAACATTATGCCACACCTGTTGATAGATTTTGGAAGGAATCGTAACTTGCTTATTTGCATATTGGCTTGTGTATAGATAACTGCATGATGTGAAAAGCATAAACAATATGTCTGTAACAAACTCAGTAAGTTTTCATTACATGTATTTGTTTCAAATAAAAAAGGAAAAACATGGTGTGATGTTGATGATAACAGACAAAGATCATGTTAATCTTGTAATATTGCTATAGACAGCAAAAGGCTAGAGTGCTTGCAACAGAATAACGGTCATTGATACAGTATGAAGTTTATCTGAATATATGTTATGTTACAATTATTATTTTAGTCTGGATCAAAAGATTTAAGTGGAGTGATAGATCAGATTACCCGTACCCAGGTCCTAGATGAAGATGATGATGTTAAAACACCAGAATGGAGAGGGCAGAGAAAACATGTCTTTATACTCAGTGACTCAGGAAAACCAGTTTATTCAAGGTAATACAATGTTAAATGACAGTTAATACATAATTAAATTTTATAATTATACTATATAAACTATTAATCAAAATAACATGTTTTTTTTATCCAGTATAATATAAGAATAATGAAAGTGAATATATTGTTATAAGTATTGTCAATTAAGGCTGTAGTAGAATAATGTTATGATATTGTGTGAGATATTACAATCATGTTAACTACATTTGTATTTGTTAACAATTTCTTTTCATCTTACATTGATAGTAGACTTGTTGTAAAAACAATCATGTAATGATTCAGAATATTAAGTGTTTCCTTTTAAATATTTTAAAGGATGTTCTTCTTAAGAATCTTGTCTGTCTTTCACTACATATTTTTTTCTATATTAATAGCAGTTTTGATTAACATGTATGTGTTAAGATGTAGGGAAATTGTAAGCCTTTAATTTCTGTGATCACCCTAAAATTATGTTAAACACCTTAATATTGCTGTAAGGAACTTAAAATTACTGTAACTGCTTAATGACATTTTCTGTTTTATATAGCAATATACCAATATAATATATATTGACTTTAAACTATTTAAATTTACTATATTACAGACATGGGAATGAAGATAAACTTGTGACAATATTTGGTGTTATGCAGGCTCTTGTATCATTTGTCCAAGATTCGTCTCATGATACTCTCCGGTCTATAGTTGTCGGCGAGCACAGAGTTGTATTTCTTCACCTTGACCATCTTATTCTAGTTTGTGTAACACGAGGTGGTGAGTCAGATAGACAGATTAGAATACAACTACACTATTTATACAATCAAGTTCTAAGTGTATTGACTCTTAGTTCTCTAAAGAAAATATTCAAACAGAGGAGAAATTATGACTTGCGACGACAGTTAAGTGGGTCGGAAAAGTTTTTAGACAGTTTGTTAAAGATGATGGAAACAGAGCCTGGGTTATTACTAGGTGCTGTACGTTGTCTGCCATTAGAGAATGCTACACGTGATATGATTGCTCAAAGTATTGTCCAACATGCCAAAGTCAAGGTATATGTTAATAATTTTTATTTAAGCTTGATTTAAAATTAATGACCCATGTGCTAAAATTCAATATAAGTCAAATCACTATTAACTTAACCCTTTCTTTTATCATAAAATATTGTATATCAGAGTTTAGTCTTTGATAAAAAAAAAAGGAAAGGACTTGATCCGAGTCAAACCCTGTTTTTTGAATGCTGCTCAATTGTTAGTCAAAGAGTCTAACCCACTTTGAGAACAATGTTGTTCTAATTTGATGACTGGATGCGCTTAAGCTATCTATAATCTTTGTAAATAATTAAAAGAATGAACTAAAAGTAGTAAAAGGGCTGTATCTAATGAAGTATTTTTATTAAACAGTAAAATTATGTTTTCATAACTTTATGACAAATTTTCACTTAGTTATGACATAAAATGTGTCTGATATTCAACACACGTACAAAGTGTGCATAAACAGAATAATATGCTTTTAAGTATGTTTTTAACAGTTAAGTAATGATTTCATGCATGCAAATGGAAATACACCAACATATTTCTTTCATATAAGCATTTTGGGATTATTCTTTTTCAAAATGTTATACAAAATTTTTCCAAGCTACAGATAGCAGAGATATAGGGTAATAAACTTTAAGCTGAGGTCACAGTAGCTTTAAAATAGAATACATGTTTTGTAGACTATGATTGTCTCTACTTGCCAATCATCTGAGATGAATCAAATTGCTATTTTGTAGCAATACATCAGTAATACAACAATTACTTTTAAAGATGAAATAGATTCATGTAAACTTTTATAATTAAAATAAAATATTTCAAAATGCGCCCTTTCTTTTAGAAAATTGCATTTTTAGAAACAGTGTTAAATAAATGATAATATTGATATGATTTCAGGATTTAGTGTTTGCACTGATAATCACCAATAGCCAGTTAGTGACATTAGTCAGAATGAAGAAATATTTCCTACATCCCATGGATCTTCATTTAATTATAAACCTTATCAACTCTGCAGAGTCTTTCAAAGCTGCTGAGTCATGGACACCAATATGTCTTCCAAAGTTTGACTCATCGTAAGTGTATTTTTGTTTATAATGTCAAGGTGACATTGTCAATAAGATAAAAGTTAATATATATTTTGTTTTGATATGATCACATCAGGCATTTATTGATTTACAAGGCAAAGCAGTAGTAAGATATAAACTGATCAAAGTATACATTCTGTGTAATATAAATCTTGTTTTAAGACAAATTCATGAGCCGTAAAACTTGACAAAGTCTATGATAAAAATGTAAAGCAGATTGATAATTTCAAAATGGAAAAATAAAAAAAATTGATGATTTAAAATCAAATAAACAAAAAATATTATAAGCATAACATCTTTCCAGTTGACTGTTTTAAATTTAAGGGCAGTTTTGAAATACTGTTTGTTATTTTGTTGACTTTCAGAGGATTTTTACAAGCACATATCTCATACCTAGATGAAGAATGTCAAACATGTCTATTGTTGCTGTCAGTAGATAGGGACTCCTTCTTCACTCTGTCAGAATGTAAAAGAAGAATTACAGAGGTTTCATTATATTTCATATTCTTCCATGCCTAATATATACATGTATAATAAAGAATTGATTTGGTGTATAGCTCTACAATTCATAGAATAGTGGAGCATGAGCATTGGTATAACACTTTGGTTAAAGTTTTATGTGCAACATTTGATACATTAACAACATCATATTTCATTTACCACTATAGGAGGTCACTGTCCAAGGCCCATAACTGTAGCATGAGTTCAACTGAATTATAGCCCCCTGGGAACTTGTGAAAATTTGTGGTTCAATTTTGCATGCAAGCTCAATCTTTAAAACTAATATAGGTATTCACTTGAAATCTAATACATGTCTCATAATTGGAGGTCACTATCGAAGATCAATAACTCTAACCTTGTTTTTGACTCAGTAATTGCTGTTTGTTATTGTAGAAATTTCCTAGTTAAGCTTTCTATGCTTGTAATCTTTAAAACTACTGAATGTATTCACTTGATAATGAATTTTAATATAAGACCCATAATTACCATGGGGTTTGAATGAAATATGGCCCTTGTGAACTTACAAAATTCCTTCAATGTCATAACTATGTCATGTGGCCATATGAAATTTAAAGTGTTGATGTGTTTTGAAATCCAACAAAACAAACAAAGCATTCACCATTGAAGGTGTTGACTTGAAATTTCCTTGTGACTAAACTTTAGGTAAAGGACTAAGATATATAATTCTAGGATTGATTTTCACTTTTAACTTCCCTTTGAAAAATTCTAACATAAGGCTCTTGTCTCACTATTCAGCACTAAGAATAGCCAAGTACAATGTCAGCCTGGAAGCTTTTGTTTTTGACATCTGATTTATTGTAACATTGTATTTAAGATAAATATTAGTGATTAAAACAAAGAGACAAGAATACTAAAAGACAAGTCAACATTTTCTATGGTTTCTTGCGCAAACTTTATGAACAGATAGGTTTGCAAAGCATCAATAAAACAATATAGATAGAAAATTATATTATTGTGCTACATTTGTTTTAAAAAGGAAAATTGTCATCTGAGATGATGAAAATATGTTATTTTTTGTTTTTTTTTTAGCTCACCTGTCACAAAGTGACAGGGTGAGCTTTTGTGATCGCTTTTCGTCCAGCGTCCGTCCGTCCGTAAACTTTTGCTTTAAATGACATCTCCTCATAAACCACTGAGCCAATTTCATCCAAACTTCACAGGAATGTTCCTTTGGTGGTCACCTTTAAAAATTGTTCAAAGAATTTAATTCCATGCAGAACTCTGGTTGCCATGGCAACCGAAAGAAAAATCTTTAAATATCTTCTTTTAAACAACCCTAAGAGCTAGAGCTTAGATATTTGGCATGAAACATCTTCTAGTGAGTGTCTACCAAGTTTGTTCAAATAAAAGCCCTTGGGTCAAAATTGGCCCCGCCCCAGGGGGTCATTGATTTTCCCTATATGCATATAGTAAAAAGTTTGAAAATCTTCTTTTAAAGAACCCAAAGAGCTAGAGCTAAGATATTTGGCATGAAACATCTTCTAGTGAGTGTCTACCAAGTTTGTTCAAATAAAAGCCCTGGGGTCATTTGGCCCCGCCCCGGGGGTCATTGATTTTCCCTATATGCATATAGTAAAAACTTAAAAAATCTTCTTTTAAAGAACCGTAAGAGCTAGAGCTTAGATATTTGGCATGAAACATCTTCTAGTGAATGTCTACCAAGTTTGTTCAAATAAAAGCCTAGGGTCAAATTGGCCCCGCCCCAGAGGGTCATTGATTTTCCCTATATGCATATAGTAAAAACTTAAAAAATCTTCTTTTAAAGAACCCAAAGAGCTAGAGCTAAGATATTAAGCATGAAACATCTTCTAGTGAGTGTCTACCAAGTTTGTTCAAATTAAAGCCCTGGGGTCAAAATTGGCCCCGCCCCGGGGGGTCATTGATTTTCCCTATATGCATATAGTAAAAACTTAAAAAATCTTCTTTTAAAGAACCATAAGAGCTAGAGCTTAGATATTTGGCATGAAACGTCTTCTAGTGAATGTCTACCAAGTTTGTTCAAATAAAAGCCCTGGGTCAAAATTGACCCCGCCCCAGGGGGTCATAGATTTTTCCTATATGCATATAGTAAAAACTTAAAAAATCTTCTTTTAAAGAACCCAAAGAGCTAGAGCTAAGATATTTAGCATGAAACATCTTTTAATGAGTGTCTTCAAGTTTGTTCAAATAAAAAGCCCTGGGGTCAAAATTGGCCCCGCCCCAAAACTTAAAAAATCTTCTTTTAAAGAACTCAAAGAGCTAGAGCTAAGATATTTAGCATGAAACATGTTCTAATGGGTGTCTACCAAGTATGTTCAAATAAAAGCCCTGGGGTCAAAACTGGCCCCGCCCGGGGGGGGGGGTCATTGATTTTCCTTATATGTGTATAGCAAAAACTTAAAAATCTTCTTGGAAAAAACCCAAATAGCTAGAGTTTAGATATTAAGCATGATTCATCTTTAAGTAAATATCTACAAAGTTTGTTCAAATAAAAGCCCGGGGGTCAAAACTGGCCCTGCCCCAGGGGTGTCATTGTTTTTAACTATATGTGTATAGTAAAAACTTTAAAAATCTTCTTTTAAAAAACCCAATGAGCTAGAACTTAGATGTTTAGCATGAAACATCTTCTTATGGGTGTCTACCAAGTCTGTTCAAATAAACAAATAAAAGCCCTTGGGTAAAAATTGGCCTGGGGGTGGGGGGGGGGCCTATATACAGGTGAGCGACCTCAGGGCCATCATGGCCCTCTTGTTTATTTTTTTGTTTCAGAAAAATATTGTAAGAGATATATTGTGAATGTAGACTGAATAAATTTCAATATTTGTCAGAGATTTATAGGCATGGGAACCAATTGATTAAGCATCTTTATTGAAAAGAAGTGTCTGAATTTATTTCGATAACATCCAAATTATTATGTTTGTTACATACCATATGAAAAACTGAAACAGTGTTGTTAATAGATTTAATATATTTGCCACATTACATATACATGTATATTTCATTATTTTATTTCAGAGACTTATAAAGTACAATGGTCTTAGAGCAATAGCTGATTCATTAAGAAAAGACAGTTATAATATTTCAAAGTGTGGTATAACAGATTTACGCCACTTTCTGTACAAGAATAAAAGCACCGCCCAATACACCAGCCCTGAGCTTCAAGCACCGTACCTGACACCAGACCAACAAGAGCGCTTGTTTAGTTTATATTACTACTTGCACAATAGAATACATTCCTCATCTAGACCATTAAAAATTCTCTACCATGTCGGCCAGTATGAAGCATTACTGGGATGGGTAAGTTGATTTTATCTTTTAATATAAAATCTATTTGCATTTAGTTATGTTTTGAATTGAATTTTATACAGTATTTTATTTTTAGCTATCTGTGACAGTTAGGTGGGGCGTCCGTGGCTCCAGCTAGCTTATGGAATGAAGGTAGTTGTACTCACTCAGGTGCCCGTTTGTGCCTGAAATAATGCACGGAAGGGCACCTGAGGTCTTCCTCCACCAGTAAAGCTGGAACGCTGCCATATGACCTTAATGTGTCAGTGTGACATAAACCTCAATCAAACAAACATTGTCAGGTTAAAGTCAATTATTTGCTAATTGACATGTTAGAGTTATAGTTGGTGTTGTTGCTTATTTACCCTACCTTTGGCTGTAGTGTAATACATTAGATAATTGATGGTACATAAATAATTCTTTCTAGTGTACATAATATATTTTAATATACATTACAGTAAAAGTGAGAATTTATGTATTTTGCTTAATTATCTATTTCAGAACTTTATATTTTGCTTCAAAGGACATTAAGACATTTGTACATGTATAAATATTTATTCGGATTGTTTTAGTTATGAGATTAAATAAAATCTTATTTCTGTCCATTTTTATACCAACTATAATATTAGTTGTAATTTTAAGGTACTGTAACTACTGCTATAAATTTTATATCAGGTTACTGGAGGTTTTGAGTTGTATGCAGTATTTGGACCATTAGTAACAAAATCACTAGCAATAAATGCTGTCAACAAGCTGATGGCCTGGATTAGAAAGGAAGCAAATAGACTGTTTATATTGGAGTCTGTGACATTCTAGAGGAAAGTTGGATATAAACTCATCAACCAGGAAACATATGTGATAAATAGTTTTTTGAGAGGGGTCATGTTAAAAGGGTCTATCTCATCAAGATAGTTCAGGAATTTTGGTGGGTTTCCCTGTGATACCTGAAATCACCTGAGTTTATTAATAAATTATAATATTGGTCTTATAAAACTTGACAGGTGCCAGCTTGAAGTAGAGTCTAGTGTTTCTACTTTAACATTCCAAGTACCAATATGGAATGTTTCCGCTTTATCTCTGAATAAAATGTTTGAATTCAAAATCAGGCCCTTTCAGCATGACCACTTGTATTTTATTTATTTTCAGCAAAGTGTACTTCTATAATCATGTTATAGCTATTGACTGTGTGTTGTTGATATAAATGTTGTATTTCAGATGAATATAGCAGTAGCATTTACATTACATTGTCATTTCCTAGTCTTTATACCAAAGAAAAAACTTTGGTGTTTTTTGTTAAGCTTATAAAATAAACCAGTCTATATCTGGAGTATCTGATTGGTTTATCCTTGTTATGGTTGATAATACTGACCAATGACAAGCTTGCATTTTTACACTGGTATCCAGTCATCTTTTTATTTTAAATCAGACAACCATCTTTAAATAAACTAGTATATATATTAGATAGAGGATATTGAATGAGTGTAAGTTCAATACTGAATTTATTGCACAAGTTGGATAAAATTATATTATGCGAGCCTCTGGCGAGCATGATATTATTTTATTCAACAAGTGCAATAAATTCAGTAATGAACTTATACGAATATAATATTCTATTTATCACAAACCCAAAATAAAGACCGTTTAAAGTGAAGAGTCATTTTTCATTAACGAGCCTATAGTATAATGTTTACATTTAGCACGTCTTTACACTATGTTTGTATAACGCTAATGACGTCACGTCAAAATATATGCACGGCCGTGCAATACCATATTTACAGAGTCGCAAAAATGGCATGGATGTGTGATAAGGTAGTAGTTTATTTTATGGGTACAAGTGACTTAACAATCTGAATGTAGTGAATATGAATTACCGGTTTGAATATTTTTATAAGGAAATGTACTTCATAATGCTTGTGGATTTTATAGTGCAGTAGATTTAACTAAAGTTTTCTCTTCTTCGTAGTGAAATCATGATTAAATCAATTTTCATGAAGGATGCATTGTTAACAAGTAAATTTTGAATGCCATTATTGATAAAAGAATAGTTGATTAAAAAATCATGTGTGCAATCCAGTTTGAATTGTGATTTATGTGAGATTTTATATAATTTGACAATTTATAGTACACAAAAATAAATGTAAGACTACTATTAGTTTGATATGTATTTCATACAAGACTTGAATTATTTTTGTGACTGACATGTTGATACATGTTGTTTTACATTGAAGATGGAATGTTTAGAGGTGGGAGGCACTTTAGTCACCAAATTTGTTATATTTTAACTAGATGTTTGTTGAAGGTGCTTTTCTTCACCTCCAGCGTGACATTCTTCTTTGAACATATTTTGTATGGTACTTTCATTTAGTGTGCAATTTTTGTTTGTGCAGTATTTTCTTTGTTTCATTGCTAATAATAGATCTCTCCCTTCTAGAATGTTTACTTACATCAGCAGGTGGTAGCTGTCGAAAGTTCACCCATACTTTGTCTCAGTGCTATTTTATTTTACTGGTCAGTTCAGATCATTGATTTCAGTAAGTGTTCAAGATTGAATACGGCAGAAGTTTTGGTGTGTACAATTATCTGTTGTGAACAGAATCAAACTGAGCATGTAGTTTACATGTATTTGTTTTTGTTTCATTGCTATCCAGGGATATCCCTCCTTTCAGATCCTTTTTACAAATTTATCTAAAAGTTTTTCATGTTTAGGAACAATTTTTATGAATATTTAAGATTCATAACAAGAAGATGCAGTACAATAAAAAATTATCCTATGCTGCTTTGGATTCAAACTCATGACCGATGGCTTACTAGCAAATAATAACAATGCTATGATTGACTGGGCCAAATAATTGATTAACTAACTGTTGTAGGGGTGTCTGTGGACTGTGGCTGAGTGGTTAAGGTCATTGACTTCAAACCACTTGCCCCTCATAGCTGCGAGTTCAAGTCCTGACAGGGACTTTGGTTTTTTCATGTGAGGAAGCCGTCCAGCTAGCTTATGGAATGAAGGTGGTTCTACTCAGGTGTCTGTTTATGCCTGAAATAATGCATGGAGGCCTTCCTCTATCAGTAAAGCTGTAACGTCGACATATGACCTACACTGTGTTGGTGTTACGTAAAACCTAATCAAACAAACAAACAAACAGTTGTCAATGGTTGTAATTTGAGTAATCATATATAACATTATCTATCTAGCTTTCAGACAGTCACTGGTCTTATAGAGATGCCTGTGACAGAGGGTCACCTAAAATCATTCCTTTCCCATATTGCTAGAAAGCCACCATTTGAAATTTACTATGTGGGTGTAAAGTAAAACCATTTTTGAATATTGTAAAATAAGTGTCTTAAAAAATGTGAAAAAAGTTGTAAAATTCTCCGTAATTTGACTTTCTTTTGCCTTGTAGTCATTACTTGTATATATATGAAGTGAATGAACAATGTTCACTAAAAATGTGATTCCTATAATATACTGATATGTATAATTTATAAGTTTTTATCTTAATAATGACAAGAGTTAATTTTTTTGTATATACAGTACAAAATAATGTAAATCTCCATACTTTATAAATGAAAACTCAATACTTGAGATATCAGTTGGACTTAAGTAAATGTGTTTTCTGAAAAAAGTTATGTGATGTTATGTAGCAATATGAACAGAACATAAAATAAATGTTTTATAACAAAGAATTTACATCTTTATTAAAATCTTTGGTTTACATTTGAATTGTAGGTTTATTTTAAATGCATTTATGTGTTCTATTTTGACATGATCCATTGTGCAAATAAACTGTATCTTTTATACATTGTAACTGCTACATTATTTTTTATGTGAGAAGAAATGGCTTTTAAATAGTTGAAGAGTATTTATAATGTAAATATTTTTAGCTTGTTATTTATGAAAATCAAATAAATTTGTTAAAGGTAATACAAGAAGTTTGTTATCTATACAATTATTACTGTTCTATTGATAAAGATCAATAAAGTATGTCTATGTTGGTAAAGGAATAGTTTTGACCCAACTCTATTGTATTTATCAACAAGAAATCACGGTTTAAAGTCAGGAACTCAATAAGTTTATAATCTACAATTGTTGTGATCTGGAACTCGGCAAATGTGGTTTTTTCCCTTCTTATCTCAGGGGTATAAACCAACTTTTACAGTTATAACTTGGTAAATATTTTGCTTATAGGCACAATGTATTGGCAACATATCATGACCAGAGTGCACCATGAAATTATAACAGTAAAAGTTTGCATGTACCATTAGGGGGGAAGGACACACATTATCTGAGTTGCAGATAACAACTATTGTACATTATAAACTTACTGAGTTCCTGACTTGAAATAGTGATTTTTTGTCATAAACATAATGTGTGTTAACTGTTATGCAAGATAAGAGATTATGTTGTAATAACTTGTGAGGTCATTTGACAATGTTTCATAATATAACAGCACTTTTTCTTCATGATACCGTATAAGTATTCTGCCATTGTTAGCTTGACTATTCGATAAGAATAAGTAGAGCTAACCTAGTCACCCAAGTGTGGCTTAACCTTTTAAAGTTTGCATCACCTCAAATATTTTTCAAAGTCCATTGATATATTACTTTGAAACTGTGCACACTTGTTCACCATCATGCCCCAAACCTGTAGACAGGAGGAGGTAACTATCAAGCATTTTGACAGAATTATGCCCCTTTTTCGACTTTTTAGATTAAAGATTGGGTACCACCTCAAATATTTTCATATTCCATTGACTTCTAGCTAATAGTTAAAATAAATTAAAAGAGTCTCATTGGTTACAAGTGCTCATATTTACTTACATAATTTCCTGAATACCACACAAATTTGACTAAAGATGATGTTAAGGCAGAGGCCATTTTCAGGTATCCACTTAGTGACAGCACATACCTTATCCTCATAGTGAGGGCACACACCATATCTACTTAGGGCACACACCATATCCTCATAGTGAGGGCATACACCATATCTACTTAGGGAGCACAGTTTACCAACTTAGTGAGGGAACATACCATATCTACTTAGTGAGGGCACATACCATATCTACTTAGTGAGGGCACACACCTTATCCTTATAGTGAGGGCATGCACCTTCTCCTCATAGTGAGGGCACACACCTTATCCTCATACTGAGGGCACACACCTTATCCACATAGCGAGGGCACAAACCTTATCCACTAAGTGAGGGTACACACCTTATCAACATTGTGAGGGCACACACCTTATCATTTTAGTTAGGGCACACATCTTATCAACATAGTGAGGGCAACACACCTTATCCTCATAGTGAGAGCACACACCTTATCCTCATAGTGAGGGCACACACCTTATCCTCATAGTGAGGGTACACACCTGATCAACATAGTGAGGGCACACACCTTATCCTCATAGTAAGGACACACACCTTATCCTCATAGTGAGAGCACACACACCTTATCACACACCATAGTGAGGGCAACACCATTCCTCATATCCTTCATTAGTCATAGTGACAGCACATACCTTATCCTCATAGTGAGGGCACACACCATATCTACTTAGGGCACACACCTTATCCTCATAGTGAGGGCATACACCATATCTACTTAGGGCGCACAGTTTACCAACTTAGTGAGGGCACATACCATATCTACTTAGTGAGGGCACACACCTTATCCTTATAGTGAGGGCAAACACCTTACCCACATAGTGAGGGCAAACACCTTATCCACATAGTGAGGGCACACACCTTATCTACATAGTGAGGGCACACACCTTATCCACATAGTGAGGGCAATTACCACCTGTAAATAATTTGTCAGCTAAAAAAAAATGTGAAATAAAACAAAGATATGTTATAGAAATAAATATATTTTTATTAAATATCTTGTACAGCATATACAACCAGTTCTAATATTGAACATAACTAACTTATACATCTCTTGTTCACGTTATGTACTTTCTTACAAGCACTTTATCAAACAAGGGACATAACTATCAACTATACAAGACCTAAAAATGACAAAATTTGTGTACACGAAAAAACAACGTAATAAATGAGACAACAAATTTTTCATTTTATAAAAATGGTAACTTCTTGATGCAAAAATATGAATTTAGAGAACCAGTCTTCAAACAAGAATTTCATTGGTTGATTTCAAAAGTCTGTTAATAAACTATCCAATCAGAAGCTCCAGTTTCAAGACTGCTTTTTGAAGTGTAATGTATGAGATGATCTCAAACAAAAACTTGATTCAAATATGAAGGTATGAATTTTGATATTTCCTCTACTATTTTTCAATGTTATTTTTTTGTAGATATTTGTTGAGTGAAATGACTATCTAGTGTTGTTATTTCATGAATATAGCACACAAAACTTGAGAGAAATAAAATTACGATGACCCATTTATGAAAGATAGTCATGTAAAACATGTCTTAATAAAAGAGTTAACCAGACTAACTAAGAATATTTATGTAAATTTCCTTAACATTAAAATTCCAAGGACTGCCAGGTTATAATGATAAAACTATAGAAGTTTACTCCCATGTTTCTACAAAGTTGTCTTACAGAGTAGGATAATAAATGTATTTTATAGTATAAAATATCTAGTTAATGTGAAGCTATGTTTGTGTTTAATATGCTTCAAAAAGACGACAATCTTAGATGTAAAACATTTTCTTCGTAATGATAATGGCACTATATGGCAAAACATCAGGTCATGTGACCATAAATATAACTTCTAACCACTATGTATGTAAACAAAATGGCCGAGACCTTGCAAAATATAAAATATGTTGATACGAAAAATGATTGTAAATGTAATTGCTTTGGTATTTTGAGTATTTGTTGTCAACTCTGCGGACATGATCACCAAATATGGTAGACAAAAAGGCAAGCAATAAATTCTATATTTCAACAGAACGGGAATTTAACAATAACTGTTCAAGCTAAGGCAAGATACAGGCTTTTTTTTCAAACATAAATGTATTTTTGATTTTCTCATACTTGAGAAATTTTTCACGTCAAATTATATTATAGTGTTCGAAATAACAAATTGACATTCTTAGCTTTCAAAAAATACAACAAAATTTTGCGAAATATTGAATCTTTTCTATCTGATTTAATTATCAAATTGATACCCCATTTAAGTTCAATCTGAAATATAATCATATGTCCTAGGTTTAATGGATTCTTCATAACGAAAATGAAAAGGTATTTGGAGACTCCATGTCATACAATACTTTCATATATATAATGGCAGTTTTAGAGCTTAGTTATATAGTTTTGGATTTCTCATATAGTCATCTCAATACAAGATTAATGTATCTGTTTTACTTCAAACATTTACAATAGTCCAACAATGAGGCGACAATTTTGTGTCATGTATCAACACGTAACTCCATGAGTATACTGGAGAAGAAACAAATTTTCCTTAAAGATCCATAAAACTTATCAATCTGGTGAGATGAAAATTGTCTAAACCATCGAGTATATTACTGTATAAAAACTTGTTATGACCAATATCCTAACTTATGTTGACTCACTGTATTAAATAATATCAAAGAAACAAATTTCTAACTTGTCCATTTTGAGAGGTTTAAAATCCTTAAGGAAAAAAAAACCTGAAGTTTATATTAACAAAATATATTAACGAAAGAGAAAGTACGAAAGAAGATACGATCATAATTGGTACATCTTCATGTTTGTGTCACTCTGACTATTACATTCATTGGGTACTATAGGAGTCTATGAGTCCCATTTTTTTGCACACTTAACTAAAATACACCTCACATGTTCTTGGTATTATGCAATAACTTAATGTTTCCTATGTTACATCCATTGTCATAATTTATATAATTTTTGCATTTAGCAATTTAACAAAAACATTTTCTTATATACAATACAGTGCACAAACAATTTACAAATTACTTGAAAAAAAAAGTAAGAAAAAAGGATATCTATACATCATGTATACTTAACAACATGAAATTTTAACAATAACTTGTTTTACAACATATATATAAATACGACATGGTCATCTTAAAATGTACACCATTACAATACAAAACAATTTTATATGTTTTGTACATATTTTTTAAAATCAATTTTATAAAATTATAAAGTAAAGTCAAACCACTATTTATTCCCCATAAAACAGAGTCACACTTTACAAAAATCATTCAGAGACACAGAATATTTCAAGGGATGATAAAATCTTTTTAAATTTACCAAATATAAAGAAAAAAAACACACAAAAAATGACCAAAAACATACCAAATTTAAAATCTTTTAATTTTCGAAACAGCACTATTTTTAGTTGTTATTTTGTGCGAAGCATGATGCTTTTCAAAACAAAAATAATTGACAATCATGTTTCCCTTCCAAATTTTAATCATTCCTTATTAATAATGAAAAGAAAACAAACAGTGGTAATAACACAAGGTCCTACAAATTTCTACAAAACACTTTTCTATGGCACATTTAAATCTGCTCCTCCAAAAATAATCATATTTCCAAGTGCATGTTGCTTTTTTTTTTTTTTAAAGAATAAATCAATTTCTATGGAATAAAATAGGACAATATATTCAACCACTTGTATGAGTAAAATATGTTCATAAAATACTAAATAAAAAGATATATCTTCAACAATAAACTTGCTTACAATCTTCAGTACTGGCCAACATTTAAATGTGAATCAATTACCCTGAAATAATATTTTAAAATAACAAACATTCGCACAATTTAAACACGAAAACTTGCATTTTTTCAATTTTCATGAAAAATTAAAACAACCTATCCAAGCAACGACAATATTCATCTAAAGATAAAAAAGTTGCCAGGTGATCATTAAAAATGAACTGAAAAATACAGTCAAACATACACTTAAAGGCCACAATTCAATACTTTGACTTAAGTAGACATATGGTTTGTCTATACAAATAGGGAGACCAGAGCCAAGCTACAGAAATATTGAAATATCAGATAGACTTGGTTTCTCTAGGTTCATGTAACAGCTCTTGGGATTTCTTGTATATTTTCTTACAGTACTTCAATCAAACTAAATAAGTTTAAATCAATTTTTCCAAACCATTGGAAATCTAACAATAGGTAAGTGTGCATGGTGATTTTTTACAATTGTAAACATGGGATGTAATATATTTATGGTAGGCATTTATAAACATTATTTGCTTAAAAAAAATGACCATTAAATACAGGTTTAACTGTATTTTATATTCAAGTTTCATACATCTCACAGTCTCTTAGCATACCAGGGATATTATTGCATATCAAATATTGATAAAATATTACAGAACTGTATAATATATTATATTCTGAAAATTACACAAAAATAATAAAACAATTGAAAAATGCTTGTACAATTTTTATCCTTGACCAGTGTTATTTTGTTAACAAGAAAAGTACAAAGAAAACCCTATAACCTTATTTGCATAAAATGCAAAAAACGTTTTAAAAAACATTTCAGTGCAGCAAAATAAAACATTTTTCTTTTTGAATAAAAAGATGTTTGTCTAAATTGTGTTATAAATATTTGTGTTAAAATCACTCTGCTTTTTTATCAGAATATCTTTTTAAATTCTGATACTTGTAGATAAAAAGTGTAACTTTTTACAAATAAATGATGAAATAAAATGAAACAATTAAATTCAATAAAATGAATGAAGATTCCATCAAGTTTATAAGAACAAAATATACATGTACAAAGGACAAAAAAAGAAAGATATTGCACAAAAAAGCATAGAACTGGCCACAGTGGACGGATTATATGGTTTATTTACACATTTAACATAAAAGTCGTGATATCAAAATAGTGTCTCAAAAATTTCTGTGATAAAATGTTTCCCCATGTAAGACACAAATTAGTAACCAATAAATGAACCACAGAAAAGTAATTACTGTGTGACACAGATACAAAAATTACTATGTGTGACACAACTTGGTAATAATCATGCGCGGCAGAAATTCATGTGACACTGGTAGTTAATTATCATATACAACAGAAATACCTAGTATGAGTGACACAGGTAGTTAATTATGTGCAGTGGAAAATTCTTATTACCTATGTGTGACATTGGTAATTACAGTCTTATGTGTGTCATAGATACATAATTACACTGTGTGTGTGTCACAGATAAATATGTACCTCATGTGTGATACCTATTAGTATTCACTATGTGACACTGTGTCATAGATTGCAGTGACCACAAATATACAAAAAATACATAACATATATATGTATTGATAAATCTATTGTACAATGCTTCTATATTTTTTTGCAAACATTTAAACACAAGAGCGATCAGTGATCACATGTGTTGCCTCATGATGGTCAATTTCATGTTGGGACAAGTTTTGTGACAGACGGACAGACAGACGGACAGTGCACAACTAGACTTGGTACTGATCATTCCTGAAAAGTTTGGATAAAATTGCACCAGTAGTTTATGAGGAGTAGTCCGGACAAGCTTTTGTGTATCTGGCAACACACAGAAAAAAACACCTTTTTATCAAAGGGCCATAACTCGGCCAAAAATCATTCAACCTGAAAACCCGTGCAATATGCGCAAGGATTTGAGCTACAGATAAATCCTGTAAAGATTCATTGAAATTGCATTAGTGGTATATGAGAAGTAGTCCGGACAAACTTTAAAAATAAAAATTATTAAAGGGCCATAACTCTGGCAAAAATCATTCAACCGGAAAATGCTGACAATATGCACAACTAGACTTGGTACTGATCATTCCTGTAAAGTTTGGATAAAATTGCACCAGTAGTTTACGAGAAGTAGTCCGGACAAGCTTTTGTGTATCTGGCAACACACAGAACAAGAGGGCCATGATGGCCCTGAGGTCGCTCACCTGTATATAGCCCCCCCCCCGGCCAATTTTTACCCAAGGGCTTTTATTTGTTTATTTGAACAGACTTGGTAGACACCCATAAGAAGATGTTTCATGCTACACATCTAAGTTCTAGCTCATTGGGTTTTTTAAAAGAAGATTTTTTAAGTTTTTACTATACACATAGAGTAAAAAACAATGACACCCCTCGGGCAGGGCCAGTTTTGACCCCTGGGCTTTTATTTGAACAAACTTTGTAGATATTTACTTAAAGATGTTGCATGCTTAATATCTAAACTCTAGTTATTTGGGTTTTTTCAAAGAAGATTTTAAAGTTTTTGCTATGTATATAAGGAAAATCAATGACCCCCGGGGCGGGGCCAGTTTTGACCCCAGGGCTTTTATTTGAACATACTTGGTAGACACCCATTAGAACATGTCTCATGCTAAATATCTTAGCTCTAGCTCTTTGGGTTCTTTAAAAGAAGATTTTATAAGTTTTTACTATATGCATATAAGGAAAATCAATGACCCCTGGGGAGGGGCCAATTTGGACCCCAGGGGTTTTATTTGAACAAACTTGGTAGACATTCACTAGAAGATGTTTCATGCCAAATATATAAGCTTTAGCTCTTACAGTTCTTTAAAAGAAGATTTTTTAAGTTTTTACTATATGCATATAGGGAAAATCAATGACCCCCTGGGGCGGGGCCAATTTTGACCCCAATGCTTTTATTTGAACAAACTTGGTAGACATTTACTAGAAGATGTTTTATGCCAAATATCTAAGCTCTAGCTCTTACGGTTCTTTAAAAGAAGATTTTTTAAGTTTAAACTATATGCATATAGGGAAAATCAATTACCCCCCAGGGCGGGGCCAATTTTGACCCAAGGGCTTTTATTTGAACAAACTTGGTAGACATTCACTAGAAGATGTTTCATGCCAAATATCTAAGCTCTAGCTCTTTGGGTTCTTTAAAAGAAGATTTTTTTAAGTTTTTACTTTTTGCATATAGGGAAATCAATGACCCCCTGGGGCGGGGCCAATTTTGACCCCAGGGCTTTTATTTGAACAAACTTGGTAGACATTCACTAGAAGATGTTTCATGCCAAATATCTTAGCTCTAGCTCTTACAGTTCTTTAAAAGAAGATTTTTTAAGTGTTTACTATATGCATATAGGGAAAATCAATGACCCCCCGGGGCGGGGCCAATTTTGACCCCAGGGCTTTTATTTGAACAAACTTGGTAGACACTCACTAGAAGATGTTCCATGCCAAAAATCTTAGCTCTAGCTCTTACAGTTCTTTAAAAGAAGATCTTTTAAGTTTTTACTATATGCATATAGGGAAAATCAATGACCCCCCGGGGGCGGGGCCAATTTTGACCCCAGGGCTTTTATTTGAACAAACTTGGTAGACACTCATTAGAAGATGTTTCATGCCAAATATCTAAGCTTTAGCTCTTAGGGTTGTTTAAAAGAAGATATTTAAAGATTTTTCTTTCGGTTGCCATGGCAACCAGAGTTCTGCATGGAATTAAATTCTTTGAACAATTTTTAAAGGTGACCACCAAAGGAACATTCCTGTGAAGTTTGGATGAAATTGGCTCAGTGGTTTATGAGGAGATGTCATTTAAAGCAAAAGTTTACGGACGGACGACGGACGGACGGACGGACGGACGAACGGACGGACGGACGCCGGACGAAAAGCGATCACAAAAGCTCACCCTGTCACTTTGTGACAGGTGAGCTAAAAAAACACCTTTTTATCAAAGGGCCATAACTCTGGCAAAAATCATTCAACCGGAAAATGCTGACAATATGCACAACTAGACTTGGTACTGATCATTCCTGTAAGGTTTGGATAAAATTGCACCAGTTGTTTATGAGGAGTAGTCCGGACAAGTTTTGTGACGGACGGACAGACAGACGACGGAGAAGTGATCCCTATATGTCGCAACTACTCTGTAGAGGCGACACAAAAATCATGTTACATACATATGAAATATCAATGTGATATAATCATGTTTTATGTTTTGTATGAAGTTAAAGAATTACACTATTTTTCAAGATAATACAAAGTATTTGAACGTGAAATGTTCAGAGTTTAACAAGCTGAAGAAATGCTACAGATTTCTGCTGTAACCTTTTCAATTCCTATTAACTGTCAATTTATAAACTCAAAAATATGTTTGTGTAAAGAAAAACAATAGATTCTTATTCCTAAAATATATTCATAATTAAGACACAACCCTAAAACAGCAAACATAACTCTTCTGTTAATTACAAAAAAATCAAAATTCAAAATTAATTAACCATTAAATATAATACACTGAACAAATACAAAAAGTCAGCAGATCTTTACATAAAATAATAATAATAAAAAAAAACACCAGCCAACAACAAGTTATCAAATTTTCATGCATTCATATCACGTATCCAACGATGATTGACAGTCAATGGTTATTCACAATGTGTAAAATGCACTTTCATTCTGAAAAACAAAATAAAAAACACACATTAGTCAAAATTTATTTTGTTTAGTTTACAGTCACATCAATATGGTAAAGGCCATACAGCTCCACTTGCTTTACTGATTGTGGTATGCCCACTTCATGCATAATATTGTTTCAGGTATAAACAGGCACATCAGTAGATCCCTCTACCTTCAATCAGCTAGCTTGACAGTTTCTTCATATGTAAGAGTTAAAAGCTTTAAGAAACTCAAACCCACAGCAGTGTGGGGCAACTGACTTGAAGGCAGCAGCCTTGACTAGTCTACTACAGCGGCCCACAAATATTTATTACATGATACAGTATCCTATATTAAAATAGTTATATAGTATAACATTTTTTTCTAACAAGTATTTATGCTAAGTAATAACAAAGTAGTAACATGGTCATACAACTGTGTTTATTACATGTGTAGTAAAAATCCTAACATACCTTCAAACATTTTCTCAGTCACTGTACATGAAAGACATGGAAGGATTGTTGTACCCCACCCACCCAAAGCTGTTACTCTGTTATTCTATATTTCCACTATTGTATCCGGTTGTTATGAGTATACTTTTAGCTGTATACCGGACTCCGGCGAGCACCAGCCGCATAAACCACCACACCATCCCTCGATTACCTCCCCTTCCTGAATAATAGAAAAATAAAATACATTTATGTATATAATCCTTTTCTCCAGTTTTAAAGAATTCTTTGTTGAAATATCACTGTTGGGATGAATTAAGCATGTGTATTTATTTTCTTTACATACATTCCAAGTTTATATGCACAATAATGGCACTGGAACTTACAGATCAGATTTGCAGCAAAGCACAATGGTTCTTAAAGGTATGCATTGTGTAGGTGAATAACTGAGCATGTTAGTTGTAATGACATACCTGCAATCTTTCAATAGATTGTGCAGCATTTGTTCCTTGGGACAGCCATGTTGTATTCTGTGTAACAACAAGTCCCGTCCCTGAGAGGTTTATATTAAATCGCCCCTGTGGGCATTGTGCAGAACTGTAGCAGTCTCCTGCTGATCCAAATGGAATGTGATTACCATTGACAGATGATGAAAACGTTAAATCTGCCACTGTAAATAACAAAATATAAGTTCTGATAAATATATTGATAAAATAAGAAATAGTTAAGCACAAATACATAATGACAGTACTTGGATGGATACACATGTTTTCACTTTTAACCTGATCAATTTCTTAAATGGACTAATCCAGTTTTCAATTTTTGGAACTATCCATTATCAACTTGGGGGATGTCTGGATGAAAATTTAATGTTACTCAGGCAATAGTAAAGGGTCTGGTGGGAGTAAAAATATCTGTCATATAAACTCTTTACCTTAATAAAACAATTTTCCATTGAAATTTATGTCATTACACCCGTAACTATTTTCTTTCAACTGTGTATGAAATTACAACTTCATTCATAATGGTGAAATTATGTTATCCTAAGCGTGCCATTGTACAGCACACGTTTCATCTGGCATCCCCCAAGCCAGATGAAATTGCCAGATATGCAAGAATGCTTGGTATGGCTCTGTACTGGTGGATGCACCAGGATGAAGGTTTAAGACCAAAACAAATCTCTTAAAGTTTAAATTATTTCTTTCTCTTTTTTAACTAAAATTCCATTTATTTGGTTACCTTGTATCTTTAATGTAAGTATATCAATTTTGATTTTCTTATAGGAAGTTTTCCCAGCATTTCTGTAGGGCCTCAGTCTGCACTCTTTACAAGGTGTCTGTCTTGTACCATTGTTTGGACATGTTTTCTGTCTCTTCAACCTTGTTATATACAAAACATATGTTAATTCATTCATACTTTAATCTGAATTTACATTAAAAGGAATCAGAACCAGAGAGATGTGATGTTTATTGTTAAAAATATTACAATATCAATGTAATTAATGAAGTGTTTTTATTACAAACTCTATCATTTAAGACTACTATTTATGGCATGAAGTAAGAGGTTACAGTTATAAGGAAAAAGAAAGGAAAATCAGAGATAATTAATGATGTTAATTCAACCTTCAAAATTTAGAAAGTATCAAGTTTACTACCATAGGATTTATATTGTAAGATAGATAAATCAAATTTCAGCTGAGTTAAAAAAAATGTAAAATAAAATATCGTATAAGTACTTATTTCTGCGGGCTTAATATTCTGCGATTTTTGTTAAAATAAGGGGTTTTAAATTTCTGCGTATCTCATTTCTGCGGTGTCATCATTCTCGCATTGATGCTTTTTATTTCTGCGTTTTAAGTAAGATATTTTTACAAAATTAACCGACACAAACAGACAACATTTCAAGATTTGTTGATGTAATATGTACATTACTTCCGTTTAACATGCAGACGACTGATAATGTGTTTCGTCGTAATCATCATACATCGGTATATAGACGTTAATAAACAAAAATCAACAACGTGCAATGACAACAATTTTAATACTGTATATGTATGAATATGAAGTGTGAGTAACAAACAATAGCACAATCGCACGTAGACACAAGATAATGTACAGATACAAAAGGGTATGTTTATTGCAACCGTCAAATTACAATAGTTTTATTTTATAACAAAAATCAAGCTGAGGATGAGCGAAAATCATACAAATATGATAGTAACAAAGAAAACAAGCAAAATAACTTTTTTTTGTCTAATATTTTATTCACGACAGATACATTAAGAAAATTTCCCATCTACAAAAGCTGATAACGGTACATGGTAATGTAATTAAACAATACCAGTAGTTGATATATTCCGACATATACATGCGGAAAGGCTTAATTTTCTGCGGTTTTTAAATCTGCAGTGTCGTTATGAACCGCAGAAATAGCAGAAATAAAGTTCCTGCAGAAAAAAGTACTTATACGGTATTCGACAAATAGTGAGTAAGATGTATATACATACCTAAATGGATAGATTTCTGAGTAATTTTCAGTTTCACCAGCTGGTAAGGAAAGGAACTCTTCCGGAACTTGTCTCTTCATATTCTTACAATATATCTAAATTAAAAGAAATAAAAACATGTTTAACTAATGAAGAACAAAAGCGATCATTAGTAACCTCAAGACTGTCAATTATATGTTGCATAACTAGACTTGGTATTTATTATTCCTGTAAAGTTTGGATGAATTTGCACCAGTTGTTTTTGACGAGAGGGCTGGACAAGCTTTGTGACAACGTACAGGCAAGACAACAGAGAAGTGACCACTACTCTGAAGGCGATACAAAAATCACTAAGAACCACATTAAAATAAAAGTGCATGTAACCTCTATTTGTACATTACAAGTTTGGGATCTTAAAGGAAACAAGAAAGTAGGGGACTCTCATTTTCACTCTTCAACCAGTGTCACACAATTCTACACTATCACATTATCTTTAATCAGTGGTTGCTACCTGTGTACTCAGAAAGATATATTTCCAAAATGGGAAAGTTCTGAAAATGTTGAAGAGAATGAGTATCAGAATATTGAAGAATAAAGACGATATACACAAGATTCATGATAAATATTTAAAGTGTACATACCTCTAATAATCTGCCATGTACAAACAGTTTATAGCTGCCATCTTGTCTGATAGATGTTTGCTCCTTCAACTGTTTACAAGAACTCGCATAACCTACAAAAATAGTTATATATACAATATAATACATGTTGATTCATCAGCTTACAACAATGAAATTCTGTTTGCATCATTGTAAATGTTAGAAATATAACAATTGAATGTAAATGTACATATATATGTTATGCTTTTATGTTCAAATTAACTGTACTGAATGAGTACCAAATATCCATTTATTTTACTTTTATATACTTTATCTGTTCATTTTGGAATTAAATATGTTATCTTTCAAAGGAAAAAGTGATATTTCTCTATAATTTGACAGCAGCTGTGTATATAAAACTATATAAACGTTGTGATTATCCAACAAAAAGTGATGTTACAAACATGCAGTAATATAAAACTTGTTATAACTTACAGGGTCCATTATAGCATGGTCTTCTACCAGAGGGTCTATGAGGTTTTGAACATAATTTCTTTTTCTTACGTTGGCCGCTAGCATCTACACATTGTACCTGCCGACGTTCATAACCGTTCCCACATCGTGATGAACACTAAAATTTATAATAAATTGTTATTTTACTTTCAACAATTTTAATGCTTTTACATATTTGAAAAAGCTTCTTAAAGATTAAATTTGCTGATATAAAATATTTATGTGAAAATTTATTGATTTCCACTGTGTTTTGTATTATCATCATAAAAGGTTCAAATCTCTTTAGTTTATACAAATTTATTTTAGTTTGATTTTGTTGGAAGCTATAAGCTTCTTGAAACACTCTTTAATCCGTTCCTGGAACCGACCAGTACTAAACAATGAGTGTAAAGTTTCTTACTCACAGAAACAATGGTTGCCCCCTGATGGGGTTTTAACCCTGTCAACCAGCAATCCTTAGATTACTTGTCCAACCTGTTAACCACTCGGCCATTTCACCACTTGTATCTCTTTTAACCCTTAACCTGGTGATTTCTTTACTTGACTTGTCAAGCTTTCATTTTTGAAACTATCCATTATTAATTCTAGTGAAATAAAAATGAAAATTTGATGTAAAACAGGTTACCTCTCCCCAGGGTGCGGTCATCCATCTGTATCTAGCTTGACAGGGACCATGGTTACATATCTGTGTCACTGCTGGCTTGTCTGTTACCTTGCAGCCATACGGTACCTCTCCTGGGAGGATCCAACCCTCCTTGGTCACTGCCTGACAGACGGCGCGCCTCGACTGTGCTCCCTCACCACAACTCACAGAACACTGAAAATATATCAATATCATTAATTTTAAGTGTTTAATCTAGCTTTAAGATGTATCATACAACTGTTGTTTCTATGTCATGTTCCAGAATATACATGTATGTACCACAAATACAAACAGAAAGAATGAACAAGCTATCATAATGGCTAGATTATTGTTTGACAAGCTAAAACGCAATTCAGTCACATGTCATATTGAATATTTTTTTTTATCTTTTAAGTTTACAACATTTTAAAAATTTATTTTACCTTTATTTTACAATTATGGCATAGTAGACTATAAATTTTAGTTTTCACACTTATCTTAGAATATGTTTTTTATTCAGCCACGCTCTTAATTTAACCATGCGATCTATGTTTAGATATGTACAATAGCAAATGACCATTATCTTGATACTTACCTCAGACCAAGGACTTGTATTCCACATGAATGGGCAGGGAAATTCACTACAGCGTCTCTTTGATTTTGGTTTTTTCTTAGACATACAAAGTGTGCTATTGACTGTTTTGTCACTCGCATCAGCACAGATCACATCACGAATCTTTGTGCCAAATCCACAATCCCTCGAGCACTGGGAACAAAATAAGGATAATAAATTAATTTACTTCCTTAAAAAACTAAAATGACAATCCTAATCTATTTCTCAGTACATTTCTTTTTCTAATAATCGTCTTTAATTAAAGCTACATTAATTGAAACATTAAACAAGAGGGCCATGATGGCCCTAGATCGCTCACCTGACCCATCAAACTCATCCAAACAATTACCTAGACAAGCATTCTGACCAAGTCTCATGACAGGTGAGTCAAAAATGTGACCACTACAGTATTAACAAGGATTATCCATAGCTTTTTACCCAGGTGACCCATATTCAAACTTGACCTAGAAATCATCAAAACAAACTTTCAGACCAATTTCCAGGATACTTGGATCAAAACAGTAGCAACTAGAGTGTTAACAAGATTTTTCTATTTTTAGCTCCGGTGACGTAGTTTCACATGCGATTTCGAACTCATACGAGCAATTACCTAGACAAGCATCCTGACCAAGTTTGATGATAATTGAGTCGAAAATGTGACCACTAGAATGTTAACAAGGTTTTTCCATATTTGGGCGGTGTGACCTAGTTTTTCATCCAAGATGACCCATGTTCGAACTTGACTTAGAAATCATCAAAACAAACTTTCAGACCAATTAACAGGATATTTGGATCAAAACAGTAGCCACTAGAGTGTTAACAAGATTTTTCTATTTTTAGCTCCTGTGACATAGTTTTTCATCCGAGATGACCAATGTTCAAACTCATCCAAGCTATCAACTAGACAAAGATCCTGACCAAGTTTGATGATGATTGAGGCAAAATTGTGACCGCTGGAGTGTTAACAAGGTTTTTCTATTTTTAGCTCCAGTGACCTAGTTTTTCATCCGAGATGACCCATGTTCAAAATCATCCGAGCTATCAACTAGATAAGCATCCTGACCAAGTTTGATGATGATTGAGGCAAAAATGTGACCGCTGGAGTGTTAACAAGGTTTTTCTATTTTTAGCTCCGGTGACCTAGTTTTTCATCTGAGATGACCCATGTTCGAACTCATGCAAGCTATCACCTAGACAAGCATCCTGACCAAGTTTGATGATGATTGAGGCAAAAATGTGACCGCTAGTGTGTTAACAAAGTTTTTCTATTTTTAGCTCCGGTGACCTACTTTTTCATCCGAGATGACCCATGTTCGAACTCATCCGAGCTATCACCTAGACAAGCATCCTGACCAAGTTTGATGATGATTGAGGCAAAAATGTGACCTCTAGAGTGTTAACAAGGTTTTTCTATTTTTAGCTCAGGTGACCTATTTTTTCATCCAGGATTACCCATGTTCGAACTCATTCAAGCTATCACCTAGACAAGCATCTTGACCAAGTTTGATGATGATTGATGGCAAAATGTGACCACTAGAGTGTTAACAAGGTTTTTATATTTTTTACTCCGGTGACCTACTTTTTCATCCGAGATGACCCATGTTCGAACTCATCCAAGCTATCACCTAGACAAGCATCCTGACCAAGTTTGATGATGATTGAGGCAAAATTGTGACCGCTGGAGTGTTAACAAGGTTTTTCTATTTTAAGCTCCAGTGACCTTGTTTTTCATCCGAGATGACCCATGTTCAAAATCATCCGAGCTATCACCTAGACAAGCATCCTGACCAAGTTTGATGATGATTGATGCAAAAATGTGACCGCTAGAGTATTAACAAGGTTTTTCTATTTTTAGCTCCGGTGACCTACTTTTTCATCCGAGATGACCCATGTTCGAACTCATCCGAGCTATCACCTAGACAAACATCCTGACCAAGTTTGATGATGATTGAGGCAAAAATGTGACCTCTAGAGTGTTAACAAGGTTTTTCTATTTTTAGCTCTTGTGACCTTGTTTTTCATCCGAGATGACCCATGTTCAAACTCATCCGAGCTATTAACTAGATAAGCATCCTGACCAAGTTTGATGATGATTGAGGCAAAAATGAGACAGCTAGAGTGTTAACAACAAAATGTGAACGGACGACGGTCGGACGACGGATAATCATCGATCCTAAAAGCTCACCCTGAGCATGCTCAGGTGAGCTAAAAAGTGATCAATTGAATTAATACACATCAAATTAATGATCGGTCGAAAATATACTGAAGAACACTCCTTGATTTACCGGAATCCTAAACAGACAACTATTATGAACAGTGAGGATTTCTATATAGATATACATGTATGTTTTTCTTTATTTAAAGAGATAATATAAATAATGTGTTGCTATACAGAATTTAACAATCTATCAATTTGTATCCAAAACCTGATAATTATCTCAACATTATGGAGCTAGGCATATCATCATGTAAAGGAATGTAACTGAATAAACTGAATAAAGAAACAACACAAGAAAGTGATTATAAAAATATACCTCAGACCAATCTCCTGTACGCCACATAAATTCCGAGCAATCTCCTGCTCCACATTTCTTCTGTGATCTCGGCTTTTTGCTCCCAATACAAAGTTCATTAGGTACAATTTTACCATGGCCTACACGACAAACAACCTTACGTTGTTGTACACCAGTCCCACATGTTGTTGAACACTGCAATAAGTGTAAAAACATGTAATAAAAAGTCTTGACCATTAGGTATTACCATCAGATGAAATAAACGTAAAAATATGACATTTCATAAATTTATAAAACACTTTAAAACACTTTGATCTATTTGAAAAGACTTCTATTGATAAGAAATAAAAAGTACATGTATATAAAAATGCATGACAAAGAACAACAACTAAATGTGTTCCTTTATGAATTAAATTTATACTTATTCTCTCCCTTACATCTTTAGCAAAGCATCAAAATGATTCTAAGAAAGTAAATTAAAAAAAGTTTTGTACATACAAAGGTAACTTATAAGCTCATTGGCCTGGGTGTATTTAATGTGTTGTACAATATGATGTGTTAAATATGTTTACACATCACTTAACTATATAAAAAATTCCATTCAAAGCAATATTATAGATACAATTTTTTGAACATACCTTACTCCATTTAGTATGGGCCCAAGATGGACAAGCATGCAGAGTGCAACGTTTAGTGTTTCTAGGTTTGGGCTCGTCACATTCAGCAGACGGCTGGTTGGTTCCCGCTTCAGACACACAGATAACATCACGCTGAGAGGAACCAGTGCCACATGTTACAGAACACTGAAAATACAAAAATATTACCATTGTAACAAAACATTATAATACACTATCAGTAACATAAATGCACATAACGTAAATATTAACATCATTATCAGACAATTATCATAGGAAGAAGATAATTTACAAATATGAGCAATGACATTTTATCTCCAAACATAGTCACATTAGACAATGACATCAATAAGGTTTATGTACAATGTAAGAATTATGGGACTTCTGTTAATAACACAAGACTTGTTCTTTGTAATTTTGTGAAAATAAACATATAAAAAAACATGATTTCTAGCCTAAATGCTTGTTTGAATCAACAAACCATATTTTTCTTTAAAATTATCAGAGAATCAACAAATGATAGAGTCATTGTAAAACAAAACAATAAAACTAATGGCATTTCATCATTTATTCAAATTTATTCTGTGCATACCAGTGCAGATTTAATTCTTTATTTCAATGAATGCAACATAATAAAATTTCCAAGGAATTGTATATTGCATATATTTCAGAAATAATCAAATCATCTAAAAGTTAAAAGCTAAACTGACACCTGTAGTGAATAAAGATTAAAGTTATTAAATTCTAACTCAAATCTGTTATGAAAACAACAACAATAACAACAACATAGTGTTTACTATTTGCAACATAATAAATTAAACTGATATAAAGACACATTTTCTCCACCAAGTATCAATATCTGTAAACAATGAGTTAAAATTTCAGTGGCATACTTTCAATGTACAAATGTATCAAAATCTCCGGAAAAAAAAGAAGAAAATTTACAACTGCATTTTGTATCTTAGTCACATTACATAATGCTGGTGAAAGTACAGCACCACTTTCAAGGGTATAATCATATAAAAAAGCCTTGTAGACAAGAAACCATTATACCAGCTAATGCCAAATGTTCACCCACACTCAATTAAAGCCCTCATTAACAATTTGTTCCCCTGCTTAAATTATTCTATGTACTTATCATGTACAGACATGCCAAAATCTAAGCTGCCATAACAAAAAATAAATGAGTTCAAATACAATATCTGTTGAAACAAAAGTTTCCGAACTTGTTTTACTGTACTTCATGGAAACAAAAAGTAATTTTGAAAACATTCATTTCAATACAAAAGAAGCCTTATACTGTATATAAGATATAAAAAATGATGAAATTAACGAGGCAGTGATTAATGTACCACCTGTACCAACTCTTCTTAACCCTTTACCACATATATACGTGAAACAATGCACTTTCGACCCCCCCCCCCCTTTTTAGGCCTCAAATAGTGAAAAAATGTCCTATTTAGGCCCCAAACAAATGTTTTCGTTTGAGAAATATTGCTTAAAAAAATGAGCACTTTTTCGGCGCCGCCCCCCATCCAAAAGATACATCAGGGGGTTGCCAGAAGGGGGATGTGCCCCCTTCTGTTAGGGGGGTTTGAAGGGGGGCGGAGTCCCCCTCATCGCCAAGAAAATTTTGGACTTGTGAGAGGCTAAAAATGACCCCAGGTCGATCATAATGTAATGTGTAACCAATGCTGAAAAGCCTTTGACTCTATCTCAATCCCTTGACAAGTTGCAGCACTTTGAAATAAATTTTGATGGAAAAAATCGAGGCAAAATAGTGATTTTTGGCAATTTGGAGATGTCCCCTCGTTGCCATGGTAACAGGAAATTTAAGACTGAGCATGCCGTTACAAAGGCAATGGTCCAGTCAACATTTGTGCCAAGTTTGATTAGTATTGAAGCATTTTTCATAGTTTCATAGCAGTTTGAACTTGTAACAGGAGGCTTTTCAGTGAAAACGGCCATTTTTTACAATATGCTCATGGGGGAAAGGGTTAACACATAGACTTAGTCAATTTTCTAATATTATATAAGTAAAGTACATAGCAGAGTTCTTAATGCACTTAAGTATGTAAGCACTCCCCCAAACAATTAAATAAATGCACTCCTTTGACCCTTATAGAACTTGGTTGTAAACAAGGTAATAATCTCACAATAACAAAGCATTCTAAAGTGCATAAAAATTTCACCGAAACAGCTGAAACCCCAATCATATCAAGCCATTCCCTTTCTTTAATTATATTACGAAATTCCGCCAGTAATCGATATAACGGTTTATAAAAACACAAAAGATTTAAAATTTTACAAAAATAATTAAAAACTAATGTCTACCCAGGTCTTTGTTACGTTTATATCTTGTTTAAATATTAATATCATAACAAATTGCAGGTAGCGTGACGTCTATATTTCATCATAATTGTACCCACGTGCAGACAATAATTAATTACAAAAAAGACCATTTTCTGTGCCAATTTTGTTCCAACAAATTTCAAATTTCAGTTGTTTTTTTTCCTTTCTTTGTTTTTTGCCCTGTCTATCAAATTTTGAAAACAATGGATAGAAAGAGATAGTTTACTTTCACATTTTTCCGCTATAACATAGTTCACCGATTAACGTAATTGGAGAAAACAAAAAATAGGAATTCAAAAACTCACTGCCAACTATACAATCATGACGTAGATGAGGGAAAAAATGATACGTAGCAGAAAAATAAAAGTTTACAGTTTACGCACTTTAAGATAACTCGTAGATAATGGAATAAGTGTAAATTGCCACGGAGACCTGGTGTATATACAATACATTTTACTTCAAGGCATTTATTTCTTATCTATTTCATTAATAAAAAACAAATGTTACCAAATGATTTTGCCAAAAGCAATAGTTGATAATTACGTCACCCGTGCTGTTTACTTCCGTATAACACTTGCCAAATTTCATGATATTTGGCACATTCAAACTGTACTAACTGGGTTTGTAGTTTTTTCAGTGATAAGTCTTTGATTGAAATTTTTGTTACACTCTGTTAGGTCAGTCAGAGATCAAGTTAGTGCAATATGTCATACAAACTAAAGCAAAGAACACTACAAGAGATTTTGTAACTTGCATTTTGTATGATTTGTATAACAGATGATCATATTAATTTATCATTCAATTTTGAGGAATAATGAATCCATAATGATCTCATATGATGGGTGACAAAATAACATATATAAGAAAATAACAGATATTTGAAACTAACAATAAAGCTTCATGACGAGGACAATGACATAGGTTTGTTAAACTCATGAGACAAAGTAACCATGTGTGATGGAAACAGAAACTTAAGCTTTGATCATTGATTTCTTGTCTTAATTTGGCTTTGGAAATGTTATTATCAATGCATGGAATGTCTGAATAAAAAAGTTAACATAAGGCCGCTAACAGTAGATAGCAAAATCTGCCTGAATGGATGTACAGGCCAGTCAAATGCTGTACAAGATCTGCCTGAACAGAATGATGTACAGGCCAGTCAAATGCTGTACTTGATCTGCCTGAATGTATGTACAGACTGACCTGATGCTGTACTAAATCTGCCTGAATGGATGTACAAGTCGGCCAGATGCTGTACTAGATCTCCCTGAATGTATGTACAGGCTGGCCTGATGCTGTACCAAATTTACCTGTATAGATGTACAGGCCAGCTTGATGCTGTACAACATCTGCCTGAATGGATGTACAGGCCAGCCTGATGCTGTACTAGATCTCCCTGAATGTATGTACAGGCTGGCCTGATGCTGTACCAAATTTACCTGTATGGATGTACAGGCCAGCTTGATGCTGTACAACATCTGCCTAAATGGATGTACAGGCCAGCCTGATGCTGTACCAGATCTGCCTGCATAGATGTACAGACCAGCCAGATGCTGTACAACATTCTGCATGAATGGATGTACAGGAAGGCCTGATGCTATACTAGTGGCAAAACACCATCATATAACTGCCATCAATGTTAGGAAGGATTAGAGAAAACAATTGTCATCCTTTGAAATGATGTACCTGTTGTGAAAAGTTAAAACATCTAGAGTTCAGTTTAACTTTCATCTATCTGAATGGATGTACAGGCCAGCCTGATGCTGTACTTGATCTGCCTGTATGGATGTACAGGCTGGCCTGATGCTGTACCAAATTTACCTGTATGGATGTACAGGCCAGCTTGATGCTGTACAACATCTGCCTAAATGGATGTACAGGCCAGCCAGATGCTGTACTTGATCTACCTGAATGGATTTACAGGCCAGTCTGATGCTGTACTAGATCTGCCTGAATGGATGTACAGGAAGGCCTGATGCTGTACTAGATCTGCATGAATGGATGTACAGGAAGGCCTGATGCTATACTAGTGGCAAAACCGCATCATATTAATGCCATCAATGTTAGGAAGGATTAGAGAAAACAATTGTCATCCTTTGAAATGATTTACCTGTTGTGAAAAGTTAAAACATCTAGAGTTCACACAAATGCACACTTCTGCTATCCCATCATTTATACTAACGTGTGATTAGTGGATTATAACAGTAAATATTCCAGACAATAAAACACTGGCTAGCAAGTTCTAAACATAAATTCTTATAAAGAATAAAGTGAAATTTATTTCACACAATTGTTTCATAAATTTTGTGAAACTTTTTTCAGTCAGTGACCTTCAGTGTCCTGAAACAAGTTCATGATGATTTCATATCCTTCATAAAGAGAGAAAAGATAAATTGGCATGATATATTCATTGTAGCTTTATTGTTCAACACGCTTGCCAATTTTGTAACTTTCAATTGTACATAAATCATTATAGTTCCAACAGGTACGTGTTAAGATTCATGGCAACAGAAAATAAAAAATTGCAAAATACAAAATAAACGGTAAATAGAATAAAGTTAATACCATTGAAAATAATATCATTGCAATAGACTGTTGAAATTAAGAATAAAGAAAATATGATGACATTGCCTTTAATGTTACACAAATTATGAAGTATTAATGTGTGCATACATGGCTACTATTTTTGTGACTAATTTATTTAATTTTAACTTAACATGTCATGTTACCAATTTAGAACTGTCTATTGTTAATGAGAGAACATCCAGCATTTTAGGGACTGGGTAAGACTGTATGAATACAGACTGGTCTGTAAT